GAGAGAGACAGACAACAGAAGACCGACTCTTTCCCGTTTTTTATCCATCTGTATATAATATTACTTACTTAGGGCTCTATTAATATATTTACAACCGTCCCCTCGCGAGGGGGAGGCGGGAGCTCTCATTACTACCGAGAAAATATAACATTCTTATAAATACAACCTGGTGTATTCCAAGAGTGTTTTTTTATTTCCAGAGAAAAAGTGTGCGTTTTACGCGCGATTCTTTAACTTCGACCATCCCGGCAGATCCTGCGCGCGTTTCCACGTCCGGGACGGACTCCTTCCTCGTCTACCTCGTCACATTCTCCGCTTCGACTCCCCTTCGCCCTACTTCCCATCCGACAACCTGCCTGTCTATCTTCCCGCCACGCCGAGAAGCCGAAATCGAGGTAAGTCCCGCATGAAAGTTCACCGATCCGATCGAGAGTTCCATTCGACGCGTGCTGCGGAAGGGTGGAGGGAGAACGGGAGGTGGGGGGGGGGAGGCGGCAGCGGCTCGCGTGGCGCCGAGCTAATACGAGAAGGGTGGAAACGCGATTTCCCTAATGCCCGCCAGCCTGCGGAGCCGAATGTTATTATGCGCGGTGAAGACTTTATAATGGGACGCAGAACTCCTTAAAACTCGCGGATACGCGCCTACGGAAAACGCCATCGCGCGGCTTCGAGATGCGACGACGCGCCCACGAGAGCCATAACCGTAAACTTATAACGTCGCGATTGCGTTACGAAGTCGTTTCGCTTGATGGCTTGTTTCATGTTTTGGGATTGCGCTCGAACGGATCGCAATTGGTTACGTTACAGACTTCCGGCGAAGAGACCGCGGCTCGATTCAATGAAATGCATATTGCAATTAACTGTTTGGTCGAAGCTTAGGACAACGTGATCATCATCGCAGTCGCTTTGTTTGATGAATTTTGCCGAGTTCCGCGATGAAAAAGAACGATAGAGAGTAATTACACTGTGCACATATAACAGTATTGATCCTTTCCAGTTGAAAATCACACTTTCGGTTTAATAAACTCCGCGTTGTAATAAATTACACGATGTAATTCGAAGATAACGCTAAGCCCCGGTTGACTTTAATTAATTTTTATGGGAACGGCCGAGAAGTTCTTTTAATTCGTATTCCGCACTATATTCACGGGCGAAGATACTATCAAAAAATAATGCCCACCTTTAATGCGCGTTCGGGCCGGAAGGGGTTAACAATTTCGGCTCGCTTCCGGTGCGTGCTCAGGCGAATTAATTCGACGTCGCGCGAGTAGCCGCGACTCGTCATCTCGACCCTCCGACCGACCACCGCCGCCGCCACCACCAGCGTTCGCGTCCACGTCCAGAGTCGCATTAATCACGTCGAAGGCAGGAAGGGGTGGTGGCGGCGCGAGCGGGGGTGAGGGGCAGCGAGAAACCTAGAAACGAAAGGGAGAACGGAACCCCTTAAAATAATCTGGCCCGAAATGAAATCAGCCAAGGCAATTTCCAACCCCCCTCCGTATCCGACGGCGGTGTTAACAGCGGTGGCGGTTTATCCGCCCGGCCGGCGGGCCTG